TGATGATGATGATGATGATGATGATGATGATGATGATGATGATGATGTATCAAACCAAAACAAAGACCCCGCTGTCACTTTCCGCGCGCCGCACCACTCGCCCAGGGAGTGGTGGAGATCGATGCTCGGCTACGCGAGAGCATCGATGAGGACCGCTACGCAGAGGCGCTCGACCGGGGCGCTCGGCCGCTGCCGCACCGCAGGATGCGGTGACGTGATGCAACCTGGGGTAGACGACTCAGTCGAAGTAAACATGGTCGTTCATGGAGGATCATGGACATCAGTCGATTGTGAACGTGGCCTTTTTTGAAAGACAGGACTTGAGCGAAGCGAGACGTAGGTACCTTTGGCGGGTCATCGGATTAGCAGTAGCACGTTGTTCAGGGACTCGGACTGCAGGACGGAGCTTCTCTTCTCTCCACAGTGCTGATGGCACTGCGAATAAACAAAACATCCGGCTTGATCCCTGCATCACAGAAAGGAAGAACATGAATCCATGGGTTTCTCAACCAATTTTAAAGTGCTTTCTTTCATCCCCTGTGATATTGCTTCGGATATAGTCTTCGAAGAACACCTGGGGTTTCCACCAAACGGGGACTCTAAGACTCTCAGCGTACAATTTGGGTCTCTGCTATTTCTTCTCACAAACATCCTTCTTTACACTAACCCTTCAGCGTGGAAGAATCCAAGGAACATGACGTACTTTCGACACGGTTTCGTGGGTCTCGTCGGGCGTTTTTCCACGCGAAGAGGCCATCCTGCAACACTCGGTGCTGCGAGACGCCTTGGCCGCGGGCTCAGGTCCTCTTGAGAGGTGGCTGAGTTTGGAGTCATTTGGAGTCTAGACTCGTCTAGACATGTCTAGACGAAAAGAAACCTACCCCAGTGGCAAGCCTCAACGGCTGTGAACGCCGCTGGGCTGTTAGTTCGCCGCTAGGCCAGCGCACAGTACCGGCGATTCCCCGGCGTGGTGGGCTTGCACCAAAGCCGCTTGGTGGAAGATGTTCTGCTTTCGATCTCTTTGGGATGGTTCAATCTGCGGCGCCCCTGCATCTGCCGCCCCTGGGTACTTGTGAACTCAACCAGCCGAATCTGATGCGGTAGCGTTACCATACCCCTTGGGCCTGCTTGGCCTTTCGCAGGGCGGTCTCGGCTCGGAATGGAACCTGCCAGGATTCTCAGGGGCGGTTGGGGTAGATGCACTTGCAAGGGGTTCTTTATGCGATGCAAGGGATAGTGTCCGGATGGTTCCTTTATAGTCTATATATTATAGGTCCTGGTTTCGACATGGCGTCATGTCATCCAAAGAACGCGTGTCATTTCGTTCTGTCGCCTCCGGTTCATCCGTTTCCATCCCAAAGGAGCCATTCGTTTCATCGTCGCTTGCCATAATATGCCGTCTCGTCTTTGCAGTCTCCCAGCCGTTTCTGGAGCCGTACCGTTTCGAGCAAAGACCACAGGCATGGCGAACAACCTCACCTTGGTTCAGCAGAAACTCTCGGAGCGACTTCGGGCCTGCACGGTCTCTGCTGACTTTGATCCCGACAGCTACGAGGTCGAGAGGGGGGCAGAGGTGTGCATGTTCTGGGCCAAGGTCTTGAGTGGTCTCTTCAAGTGGGGGAGGTGTGATGGATTTGGATCTTCCAGACTTTGAGTTTTAAGGCGAGCCCGAGAGGCCGTGCAGAAGGAGTTCTTGAGCCGTCAATACGCTAACAATGAAGCGAACACACGCAAAGCAACTTCATATCAGAGTGCGGTTATCTTTCTGCATGTAGACCATCAATTCTTTCTGGCATTCTAACATGGCTTGGCACATCTCACAACAGCAGCCTGGTTGCTTCTAAGATTCTTAGCTGGTTGCCACATAATGTTGTTGTTGTTGTTGATGTTGATGTTGTTGATGTTGTTGATGTTGTTGATGTTGTTGTTGTTGTTGTAGATTTTTTTGTATACCCTGGGAGTCAAAGACTATAAAAAGAATGGTCTTTAGGAAATCTGAAAGGGAACTTCCTTTACTTCAGCCGGTCAAAATATAGTCTTTGGACTTCTAGGGTATATATGTTCACTGTTTTTCTTGAACAACCATCATAGGAAAACCTCAGAACATAGGGTGACCGTCTGGGCATGGCAGAAAACCTAAACTGCAAGGGGTGATGCGAACTGAGCCATAAGCCAGTTCGTTTGGCCAACAGACCAAAAGACTCTCATGCGTTTTGAACACAGGAACACCGTGGTATTGCTTTTGGCCAAACATCTTTTCTCCCGAGCTCAAAGGAGTGTGGGAATTCCAGCATTCGTCGGTGGTGTGCTCGGCTTCATGGCCCAGGAGGTGTTGAAAGCCTATAGCTTGTTGGCCTCGGACCAGGCCAGATGAGCGCAGTGGATGGGGCGGAGGAGACAATCAAGCTCCAAGAGCAAATAGAGCAAAGAAGTGGAATACAAAGAAACATAGTAATGTGTTCTTGGCTCACATCCCTTTGCTCACCTCTAGTAGTCCAACTGGAGGAATGTGTTGAGGTGAGCTTCTAGTTGGACTTCTTACATTAGCCGACTGAGACGGGACCTCTATCCCTTGGTAAATGGGTCCATTTATATCAACCCAAATGCCCCAACCCAACCCATCTATGCTTGGTGGTTGTATTATGTTGTATTCACAGTCTGGTCATTTGGGCAGTTTTGTTAATAGGTGCAGCTCTCTCTTTGACAGACATGAGCATTCTGGATACCACAAACCCACAAGCTGTTTGCGATGCAAAGCTGTCCTTGAAAGAGTACGGACGGTGTTTACTCGCAAATCTAGATTTCATCGGTATACCAACGACATCAAAGGTAATGCATGCTCGCTTTCAGAGCTCGCTGGCTAGAGTTTGAACGTTTGAACCCGTCAGTTCCCATACACCTGCATGAAATGAAAGAAGCTAAACACCAAAGGCTTCCCGTTCGAACGGAGCCGGGCTCCGTTCTGGGGATCGATCGCATCGACTCGACCGGTTTCCAGGCGGGTGGACCGAAACCGGTGCGCGCAGGCGGTCTCGGTGGGCAAGGAGCTGCTGAGGCATGTGAGTGAGTTCGGGTGGCACAGAGAATGGGTTTGACTGCGACCTGATGTGACCTGGAGGAATGGGTTTGAAAGGATCCATGAATTGAGATGGGGAATGGAATGAAGAGTTGGAGAGAATTGCATAAAGAATTCATTCTTCAATGGACTGGTACCACAGGAAGTGAAACTGGAGTTCATCTCCCAATTGGTCAAGACATGTCAAGATCATTTGCATTACTGGACCAGTGGAGCTGCCATGTGAAAGAAACGCTTTCAGTGATTCAACCCGACTCTGAACACAGGGGAGTCGAGTCCAGCAACTGACTTAACAGTATAAGGCTCAAGGCAGCTTTGTATTTAATGGATCCCATAGTTAGTGTCAATGGTGTCAATGTATCGAATCCGCAGTTGAAACAGGTGTTGATCGCAGCAGGAGTTGATTCAACATCATGGCGAGAGGCGAGCTGAAGCCGTTCACTGGCGAGCTGGCCGAGTCAGTCACTTCCTCAAACCTTAGGTACCTGAGAAGACCTCCTCGTCTCGATGACGAGGTACGAGGCATCCGGTCTGGTGGCTTTCTGTCTCAAGAAACTTGGTTCAAGAAGGAGCTACCATCGGGTCATCTATGGCCTCGTGGACATCAATGCCACAAATCAAAACTGAGAGCAGTGAGCCCTGAAAAGCCTGGCACTGCCCAGTCCAAAGTACTGCCCATGGGTAAAGGATGTTCTGTCTCAGACTGGCCACTCGGGCTCTTCCTCATCCTTTTTCAAGCCGAGATGGTTCTGTTTCATGCGCTTGTTCACATCAGCCAGGACAGGTGTGATTTTACACAGGATGGCGAAAGCTGAAATCATCCTCGTCAGTCGGGTCCTACAGACAGCATTTCAAGTTTCAAAAGACGCTTTTTCTTGAAGCCTTTTGTGAGTTTCGAGTGACTCCAGTCTTGTTTACTTCGGTGATTTTCCTCTTTGGATTGCCTGCTGCCTGCTGTGTTGTTTTCTCATTGTCTATGAGATCATTCGGCCCGTTCCATTCCCTTCCTGTTCGATCCGCACCCCTCCCACTTGGAAGTGGTTTTTCCTATACTATGGGGCCTTTGACGAGACGGTGTGTGAGACTACAGGGTGGTGTTTCACCACGAGTTCCTCGTGGCTCGGGCTCGTGTACTTGCTGTGTACAGTACTTGCCCGGGAGCCGGTAAGAACACCCGCCATCTCACCGTCTCACGGCAAACCCCCAGGTTCATTGTGGCGGTGTCGCGGCAATGCATGGCGGGGATTCGGACTCGACCCGGGGAATTGGACCGGGGATTGGTCTGGGTTCCGTACTGGGTCAAAGCAACATTTCGGAAGAGTTCGTGGTATAATTAGGCAGATCATAGGCAGGTTGCAGGCAGGATGCAGGCGTGCCTCCCCCAAATGATGAGAACAACATGTGCAAGCATGGCTTTGTCAGGTGCACTCAGGGTGCACTCATTCAACCTGTCACCAATGGAATGGACCATCCTTTGATTTTGACAACTTCCTGGTTCCACTGGAGATTTGAGGCGTCACCTGACTGGGATGCAACATTGTGGGGTGGCTTCCTGTTCTTGTGGGTTGACTTCTTTTCATCGGTGTGCCATGGGGCGCTCACTTCCTGCGATGACACGATGTTATATGGCACTAAATGTCCCAAAGAAACGTGCCGACTCTGATCCAAAGGGACCCCGAGACACCTTTCAACACCTTTCAACATGTCGGATGTGGTGGCGCTTTTGGCCTTGATGTGGGCGGACGAGAATCCCATGAACGCAGTATTGGTTATCAGGCATGCAGCATGCAAGATCATCCAAGTACCAGCACCCTTACTGCCAGGTCACCACCTGCCACTTCATAAAGTCTCCATTTCCACGTTAATCTCGGAGAACTGGCCGTACTTCGGGTTCTGGGATTGTTTCTATTTTTCACCTCTTGATCCAAACCCGCCAAACCCTCCAAACCCGCCGTTGGCCGCGGGACGCCGCGTCCCGCGCCAACAGCGCCTCAGTTGGCCTTCTCGGCCCGGAATGAGTCGCCCGTCCGGACACCCGGTCGAGACCGTGGACGACGGTCGTGGACGGCTGCGTGGAGCATGCGATCGCATGGATTTGGTCGGAGACGGTTGGTGGATTTCATGGTCCATTTTGATTTGTTTTGGAGTGTTGGATCATATGGACAGAATGTGTGACATGGAGCGAAGGGGATAATGATGGATAATGAGATATAATATAAGGGGAGGAGTTTCCGCACGATGAAAAGGAAAGTGGCAAATATCATGGAAGTGGAAAGTGGCCCCTCTCCTCTAGAGACAGGTGGCTTTCCACTTCCATGATGATGATTCCAGCCAGGGAGTGTACTGTACCACAGCAACACTTCTGCCCCCTGGGATTGGGCATTCCAAGTCCCTCAACCTGCGAAGTGGAACTGGGGAGAAACAACATGTTCACATCAATCACAATCACTTGATCACAATCAGGCAAGAACAAAACAAACCAATATCAGGACGGTTTGATATTGATTAGCTTAGAATGATGGAAGTGGACGTCTACCCTTCCCCGACTCGCTAACATGGAAGTGGACTTCCCCTGTTTAGTCAGAAAAGGGTCTTTCCAGGGCGTTCCAGGACAATACAGTAATACGTTGGGTCTGTCCTATTACCTGTAACAGTCAGTAAACAAATAATGACAATTTTTGGACAAGGCCTTTACTAACCATTATCATCCACTGTTACAGGTAATAGGACAGACCCCAGAAATACCGCAATACCGTATGACCTCTACCTTTCTTGTAGGTTGGAGGCCATCGCTAGGTTGGAGGCCATCGGTAGTAGGTTGGAGGCCATCGCTAGTAGGTTGGAGGCCATTCTAGTAGGTTCGGAGGCCATCGCTGGTAGGTTGGAGGCCATCGCTAGTAGGTTTCAGGCCTTGGCCAGTAGGTTGGAGGCCATTGCTAGTAGGTTGGAGGCCATTGCTAGTAGGTTCGGAGGCCATCGCTAGTAGGTGGGAGGCCATCGGTAGTAGGTTGGAGGCCATCGCAACTAGGGGTGGAGGCCATCGCTAGTAGGTTGGAGGCCATCGCTGGTTGGTTGGAGGCTATTGCTAGTAGGTTGGAGGCCAT